CTACAAAACCTTTTCTTTAAAAAGCAATTCTGTGAGAAAGCCCAATATATAAAACCTATATGAATACCACTGTATTCATTGAAAGTGTACTGCCATCCATGAGGCAGCTCCTAAGAGAATGATATGGGGTTCTTGGAACACAGTTTGATAGATGCTAATCTAGCCTCTCTTCCTTGTTTAAGATGGAAAAACTATGTCAGGCTTACAAGGTACCAAACACTTGTATAAATTAATAGAAGATTAACAAGAGAGCCAGAGGACTTCTTCGTAGGTGATACATAAACAAACACCAAACTTGCTGCTGTCGAATTAGTTCTGACTTATAGTGACCCCCACTGAGTTTCCAAGGCTGTAGATCTTTATGGAAGCAGACTGCCCCTTCTTTCTTCCTCAGAGCAGCTGGTGGGTTTGAACCACTGAACTTCTGGTTAGCAGCCGAATGCCTTAACCACTACACCACCAGATATATATGTGTGTACATGTGTGTGTGTAATTTTTTAAACCTCATGTATAGAAGATCCTGTCTTGTTTTATTTCATTTTATTTTTACTTTCTCTCTATACTCTCCATTCCTCCCCACAAGGTTCCCCCTGTAATAGATTTGATATATTTGATATATATTCTTAAATATGTATGTATTGCTGCTTGCTAGTGGTTCAAACCCACCAGCCACTCCTCAGAAGGAAGATGGGGCAATCTACTTCCATAGTGATACTGCCTCGGAAACCCAAGGAGGGGTCACAATGAGTCGGATCTGATTCGATGGCACACAACAACATAATTAAAAAGAATTAAGTAATTTTTGAACACTTAACTACATGCTAAATACTAGATCTATAGTGTTAAACAAAATAGACAAGGTGATTCTTCTCTCAAGGAGCTTTTCATTGCCATTGAGTTGATTCTGACACATGGTGACCTCCATTATGTTTCCAAGGCTGTAAATCTTTATGGAAGAAGATTGCCTCATTTTTTCTCCCACAGAGAAGCTGGTAGGTTTGAACCACTGATTTTTTTTGGTTAGCAGCCAAATACCGTAACCACTACATCACCAGAGCTCCTTCTCAAGGAGCTTACTGTCTAGAAATTAAGCAGTCTCTAGGCAAGCAGCTTATCACATGCAAGTAAGATCTTACTGAAGATAATTCAGAAACGTTTGCAGCAGTATATTGATAGAGAACTTCCAGAGGTTCAAGCCGGAT